GAAAAGTTGTGCACCCTCACCGAAATCCAACTGAAAACCATCTACCCAAAGTATTTTCTACCGTCTTTTTATTTTCTTATTACTTTATTACTTTTTTATTACTTTCATTACTTTTTGTAGTTATTACTTATTACTTGTAATAATACCTTTGTTATTACTTATTACTAGTAATAGTAATGTAGCAGCCCTACTGTATAGCACACAAATCTCGTTTTCGGGGTCTGTGTCTATGTTGTTTAGCCTTTCTTTGAAAAAATCGAGGTCGAACTCCTTAAGCTTGAAGGGCTCTGCCGCTTATGGTTTAGCATAAAACTAAACTTATTCTAAGAGGTCTTAAGACAGCAAACACAACAGAGAGCTGATAAACTGCATGAGTCGTGTAGTGGAAGCGACTTTGGTTATTTACAGCTTTACATGTACCGAAAGCTCAGAAACAGTCGTCAGAACTGCGCAGTCCAAGACAAAAGAATCTTGACTGAACGGTTCAAGAAAGCAGAAGAGCAGTCTTTTCTTTTCCTTCGCTAAAGACCTAATGGATGATTCATATTCATACCATTTTTCAAAGATTATTTATTCAGGCCACAGGAGTTACTGAAACACAAAACACTGCCATAAACGACACGTTATCTTACTTTTACAAATGCTCTAATGTTAAAAAACTGACGCGTATCATCGTATAAAAATAGTTTAGGCTAAAAACAATTTTTTCTCCTATATTTGTCCAGTCAGAATAAGTTTGTAAATTTCACAAAGAAAAAGTAGCAAACGGAAGACGACTAGTAGCCATGTAATCAAAAGAGGACAGTCTACATATAGTGGTCAGTTTATAGACACTGGATATTTCAGACCCAGAACATTAGCATCAGTATCGAATTCCGTCAATTTAATGTCTAGGACACCATCGTATACGTTGCATGTTGGTTTGTCTGTACGTACGCCAATTTCAATCAAGTGTACTCCGGCTGGCAAATACAGTCGTTCAGATTTTACAAATGTAAATGAAGAGGATGGCGCTACACTGTAAACGAGAGATGCACCATAGCGATCGACAGCTAATAGATTGCTTCCTAGCGCTGGATCAGCAGTGGCACGTCTGTCATTGTTTGGCAGCAAGCGATTAGCTGTAAAAATTGAGCCATCAACCATCACTTTAACAAATGTGTGTGCTATGCCTTGCTCATTTATGAAATTACCGTAATAGTCAACTTCATAGAGTAACGGTTTTGCGTGACTGAAGACAAATGTTAAACCGGGAATTTTAATGAAAGTTGACGATGCGGAGCTGACTTGAACTTTCCATATATCCTGGTATTTTGTATAAAAATGTTGCCCTTGAATAAAGCCCAATGACGGATATTGTGTAGTCCGTTGTGAAACTGGAATTATGATCAGGTTCGAAGAATTTCTTTGTGCTTTAAGCACGGATAGAAGTGCAAAAAGCAGCAAAATAGCATAGGACAGCATGGTCATTCGAATAGTTTAGAAAGTGAATAAAATGATTTGTGTTCGCCGTTTAGGAACAGGATTCTTTTTATTGCAGTGTTATATCAATAAATTCTTCGACAAAATTGTCGTTTAATAAAATAAGTTATATGATCTGTCAGAATTGTCGTAGTAATTCATTCTCGTCACGATTATTACAATCTTAGAAATGATTTATGATTATCTTCGTTTTCTTAGTCTCAACAAGGTCTATCAATGGCCAAATTATGGCGTCGAAAGCGCTGGGGATAGTTCCGACAGTCGGTAAACATTTTTCCCTTAATCATCAATATTAGCATGATATATCCTACTAACGAAAAAAAAATCTCATTCAAGTTTATTTTTTTCGAAATTTTCACTCACACCGTACCAACGCAAATCGCGCATATGAGTGAATGGCATAGCCATTGTACCATTTATAAAAAAATTTATCTGAAAGAAAAATCAAAGCAGTGTTAAAGTGATTGGCAAGTTAAGTATTACTGTGATAGAGGATCACAAAAAATGGCTTTTTCCCACACTTCATTTACTTTCTTCGAAAAAACTTGATTTATTCTGATATTGGCCGAAATCCCCACGGTGGCTCCAAAATATAGTGCAGGTTGCCATTTTCCAATAACAGCGTAAGATAGAACGTTGCGATCTTCAACAATCAAAAGCAGACACCTGAGGCTAGTCTTTCACAACCAAAGACGGTTACTGAAAACATTTCTGAAGCCGATATTTCAGCGGGCCTTTGGAAAGCCAGTTTGGATCTCTAAAAACGAATATTGAAGTAGATCAACCGTTTTCATAGATATATAGTTCGAAGTGTCGTCTACAACACTAGATCTAAGCAACATCTTGGAAATCCATGGTTCGGGAGCTATGGGCGTTTTTGCCGAACTCATGGGACTCCTCTGCTGTTAGGTTTGGGACTGTTAGAAATGAATGTAAACATAGGTTATTGACTATGTCGAATGGTATATAATAAGTTGAATTTTGTTTCAATTTTCACTGAAAAGAAGCTTTTAGAAGTCTCACCGGAATTTCTTTCTTAAAAATCTCACCGGACATCTTCGCATATATTTCAAATTTCTCCCGCATTTTCTGCATGAAGCATCGATTTCCACCAATATAATAGAATTTTGTGTACAAAGAAAGTACTAACAGTATTTTCAGTTGAAGCTATTTTAAAATCTTTTTAACGGCTACGGCTAGTAAAAGCCGTTGCTTTGATAGGTTGCTTAACATGTGTTTACAAAAACTCGCGGAAGAGTCGGCGTTCTGTTCGGGAAAGAGTTACGGTTCTGTTCGCGCAAGAGTCGGTTCGCGGAAGAGGCGTGTCACGCAAGAAGTCGCTATAGTTATATAAGATTTACAATCAAGACGGCAGTGACTCAGCTGTGTACACCTAATAATTTCCATTCAATAATAATTTCGATTATTAGAGATTATGAATTACATATCCGTTTTTCTTGTACTCAAAGAAAAAGTACAGAAAAAGCGAAAAGAATACATTATTAGGTATTCGCGGAAGCGTCGTTCGCGATTTTCTGACTCAATATTGATTAAACGAAGCATAATACCTTAAAATTAAATAGCAACAGCTTAAACCTCAAGTTTTATTATTGTCGTCTTCAAACAGACGTGCTTCTGATAAGAAATTAGAACAAAAAAAAAGAAAGGATAGAAAAATACCACCAGATTGTAGAATATAAACGATAAAGAAAAGAGAGAATTATAAGTGTAATGATGGTAAAGTAAAAAATACATAGTCTGACTCTTCCTGTATAAAAGGGTCATATTTCACAGAATACAGTCTCATTCACTTCTTTCTTAAAATCAAGTAGAGAACCCTTTGTTTGTTTCTTGTCAACACAACAAAAGCCTGGAATAATACGATGTCAAACTATAAATTATACTACTTCAATGGCCGTGGACGTGCTGAAGTAACTCGTTTGATATTTGCACAAGCTGGACAAAAGTTTGAAGATATTCGTTGGGAGCACAGCGAGTGGCCACAGCATAAAGCAGAAACACCGCTAGGACAAATGCCTGTTCTGGAAGTCGACGGCACCAAACTTCCGCAATCATTATCAATTGCTCGGTTTGTTGCTAAGAAATTTAATTTAGCTGGTCGTGATAATTTAGAGCAAGCTAAAGTGGACTCGGTTATTGACACAAATGCTGATTTGCTGCAAAAGTTCGTGACAGTATCGTTTGAAAAAGATGAACAAAAGAAACAACAAGCCTTGGAAACATTTCAGCAAGAAGATTTACCAAAACAGCTACAAAATTTAGAAACATTATTAACAAATTATGGTCAAACAGGTCCATACTTCTTAGGTGCAAACTTAACATGGGCTGATCTGATGTTTTTGGACATGGTTGAAAAGGTACAAGATTTAGTGAAAACACAAAATTTCTTAGATAAATACCCAAAATTAAAACGTAATCATGATGAAGTACAAAAACAACCGAAAATTGCTGCCTACTTAAAAAGTAGACCACAAACACCATTTTAACAGCATAAGAACAAAAGTAGAACCATTTTATAACTCTATTGACATTTAGCTTCATACGATGTTACTTGCTTTTTCTGTCTAACGGGTGCGACAGAATAAATAACAGTCTCAATATCTCGCTCAGTTCTAATTCTATCGAATAAAATTCTTTTTTTTGAAGCAGCATTCAATTCTCAACAAAACCATAGGTGAATGAATGTTACTCATATAAAAGTAGAAAGGTTATCGAAGAAATACTGAAAATATGAAACATCAACAATTTTGTAACACAAAATTCAGCTTTTTGGCTTTTACGTGTTCTCGCGTTGAGGTACACAAAGATCAAATGAGGTATTTTGTAGAGCTTGAGAAGCTTTATCTCCCTATGGTATTCAAAAATTTTAAAAATAAAGTTCAATTTTTTTTCATGTTCTCCAAAAAAAACTCGTTTTTAAAACGTTGTTTTCTCTATTCTCAGAAAACTAAGTCAAAACTTGCGCTTTTGACGTATTCTTTTCATTTGAAGTCTGATGATCCATATATAAACGTGGTCCTTCATTTCGAACAAATCGTTTTTCTATTCACCATGTTCAAGCGCGAAGATTAAATATAAGGAATTTTTGACTTTTTTTCAAAATTAAATCGTATTTGATTAAACGACAATAAAACGTTAGTGATGCAGCGTATGACCTTGGAACGTTGGTAAACTCACATTTTAATTGTACTTTGTCAAAACTTCTTCCCATTCATTTTTCAAAGAACAGTCTATCAGTTAATCCGCTGCTTATCTTCATGTGTCATATAATTTAAAAAGAAAGGTGAATGGCGTATATTGACTTTTTCCGTCTCTTTTTCTTTTATAACTTTCTGAATACGATATAATGTAACGAACAACATTCTTGTGGTTTTATTAGAGAAAGCATTGTCTTTCTTTAAAAGGAAAAAAAAAGAATATTATTGATCTTTTCCACTGATCAAAATTCAAGTGAAAAATTTAAAACATCATCAAATACAAAGCGACAGGGATTTTTTAACTTCAATTTATTTCTCAAAATAGATGATCTCATCACACAAATTCGAGGAACATAAACACTAATCTATCCGCGGCTCCTCAGATGGTTTTGTTATTTCATCGTAACAGTTGCATTGTCGTATGCTTAGGCTTTGATGCACTCTGCCATTGACCAATGAGTTTTTTTCTAAAGATGGAATGAGTTTTCAATCGTTTTCTTACGAGTAATTCGAAGCAGAAGATTAACTTGCTCGAAGTAACAGTTCAGTTAAATTTTCTATGCAAATAAACCAAAAACATGTTTTTATAGACATTCTGACTATGTTCTTGTCCAGTGAGAATTGAATCTCCTTTATATCAATAAAAACCAAACATAATCTTTGTCGAAAATAGTCAAAAGATGGTTCACAGATTGAGAATCATTTTGATAAAAAGACGTTAAATATCAGTGTTCTTCTTACTGTAATAAGTGTCAATTTCTTTTCTAGAAACAAGCACACACTACATGTCCAATAAGGTTTACAATTTCTGTCAATCAGTTTATTCTTCTATTTTGTAAGACTGATGACGTGCAATAACGGGTGCGGCAGAATAAATGATAGTCTCAATACCTCGCTCATTTCGCATCCTTTTGGATTAAATTATTTTATCATTATTATATTCGCTCTTATTCACCATAGGTAAATGAGTGTTATTCATATAAAAGTAGAAAGTTTATTGAAGAATAAAGGTGTCGCTTTACTTTATCAAGTAATAAGTAATAAAACGTATTAGTTATCACCAGGAAAAAGTAATATACATCTTATTGTTTTATTACTTATCACTTCTTTGTGTAGTAATCTTTTATTATTTTACTTAATACTAATACGCAGAAAAGTAATAAAAAGTAATAGGTAAAATAATAAAAAATTACTACACAAAGAAGTAATAAGTAATAAAACAACAAGATGTATTACCTCTTCAGTACCACCCCGAAACTTTGTCACAAATTGCGTATTACTTAACTCTAGTCTAGCAACACAATTTGCGTCTATAAGACAGGCTGTATCAATAACAAAACAATTCAACATTGAAAAAGCTTCGTATACGCTATTGATCGTTTTTCTCTTCAAATTTTTTTATTACGTCTTATTGTAAAAATCAGATAATATTCTTGATCCTTGGACGAAGCCAAATCTAACATTATTCAGGTTGGTTCCAGCTTTTACTAAAAGGTTAAAACCAAGGGAGTTCTTGTGATTATGACACACGGTACTGCTTAGATGACACCCAAAAGTTTTTTTTCAATATCTTTAATGACAGGCCCCCCCTGTCTGGATATTCAAAAATTAGGTTCTCTATTGACATTTTAAAACCTGAAGTGTTTTCCTGCATACCGTAAAACAGTGCGTACTTGATTACACTAGAAATGATGCTTTGAAGTTTTTGAATAAGTATTTTACTACTGGAAAGAAATCGAAAATTAGTTTGCATATTTGAACTAGAGATGTTTCGTATTTTCAATATTTCTTCAATAGAGGCGCTGCTTTACTTTTACTAATTATCGCATTATTTGGTAAAAGTAATAAATGTTTGTTACTTATTACCGGTAAAAAGGTA